TTAATAGATACAATTTTTTAGAAGATTTACTTATTTATTCTATGAAAGAAAAGGTCAAACAGGCACCCCCAATAGGATCTTCATGCCATGGTCTGTCCCAGTCTTAGCCAACCTGAAACATGGCCATGTATGCATGCTGAGCATGCTCAAATCCCAGGATATGAACTCAGGACTCTCCCGTGAGGGTCCAGTTGTTATCACTACATCTCTGGCTAGTCCTGATGTTTTGATGTAGGTATATTGTGAAATGATTGCCACAATCAAGCTAACATGCTTGTTACCTCACATAGTTTCCTTTTTTGTGGGTGTTAAGAACATTCAAGATCTACTTTCTCAGTAAATTCCAAGTATTCAATACAGTTGCATTAATAATGTCACCATGATGATATATTAAATCTCCAGAACTTATTTATCTTAGATAACTGAACCTTGCACACTTTGAACACTATCTTTCCATTTCTCCCACTGTTCCTGGCCCCCGAGCCCCAGACAATCACCATAGCATCCTTTTATTTGTGGGGTTTTTTAGAAGAGTTATTTAATTTTATTTATTATATATATTTTAAAATTTCCTATAGGACATGTGTGCTCACCAGAGAGAGATGGGGGTGGGGTAGAAAATGAAAAAGCAAGCTACTAGGTACAGGACTTGAACCACCATCAACCATGTGAAAGTCCAACATCTTAACCACCACATCACCTGCTGGCCCCAACATCCTTTGTTTTCATAGCCTTTGCTACATAATAAAATTGTAATGGAGGGGTCAACAAATGACATAATGGTTACGTCCTTGGACTCGCACATGATCAACCATGAGTTGAGTCCTGGACCTGATGACTTGAAATTCATGCTAGGTACCTGTGCATGTGTGCCCAAGATCCCAGGAGGAGAAGAAAGGAGAAGAGATTGCAGTGTGGCCATCCTCTCTAGGGGGTGATTTCTCACTTTCCCTTTCACTGTCTATTTCTTTCTCTGGCACACACACATGCCCTATGGGAAAACCCTTCCAAAAAAGGAAAAAAAGACATCTGAAATTGTACTGGATTATCCAAAGTATTTTTTCCTAGGTGCAAATATCTGATCCAAATTTAAAAATGATAGTGACTAGGAAGTTGTAGCAGAACAGAATCTTTCTTTCATTGTTCTGTTTTTTTTTTTTTTTTAAATTTTGAAATGTGTGCAGTTAACAATCCACCATCATACTTTCTTCATCTATACAAGTTTATCTTCATGAGTTTATTTGAAAACAAATAGCCTGCTTGTAATGTCAGAATAAAATGAAAATATCAACCTAAGTTACAATTTCAGAGAAAATGGGGGAAAAATGGATAGATGGACAAAGAGCCAGTTAAAAATGTAACACATGCTACACAGCAAAAGAAATAATCAACACAGTGAAAAGGTAACTTACAGAGTGGAAGAAAATATTTGCAAACAATGTATTTCATAAGGGGTTAATATCTAAAATATATGAGGAATTCTTAAAACTCAATAGCAATAAAAAAAATCCTTTTTGAAAACGAACAAAGGACTTTGACATTTCTCCAAAGAAGACATATGAATGACCAATAAGCATATGAAAAGGTGCTGACCATCACTAATTACCAGGAAAATGTGAATCAAAGCCATAACAAATATTGCCTTAACACCTGTTAAGATGGCTATTACATAAATAAAAGAAAGATGGGAAAGAG